TGAACTAACTAAATCAACCTAGTTTCTATTCGAATTTAGAAGTAGAAAGATCTTGATTTAAAATAAAGTTTTCAGAAATGTATAGAAACCAATATCATTTATGAGGCAAAAAGTACAAGATAAAAATCTCCCACAAATTACCTCAATGTCCTCCGTAGAAGTTCCATCAACAGGATTTTTTACATCTTGAGATGCAAGGCTTTCAAAAGCAGTCCTATTTTCAAAAGGACAAAGACAACAATGAGCAAAACAAAACTGGAACTATATGCGCACTTGGAGCTGCTATCCAAGAAAAAGTGGATGTGGAAACTATATCAGCAAGACTAGTACATACATTGACGAAGCATTGACATGGACCACAGCAGGAGGACCAGAAACAAAAAGAGCAGCTGGAACTGGACTCAATGCAACCCCAGAAACAGTTGGAGAAATGCTGGAGCTAATGGTAGAAATTGCCGGCGTTTCAGCATGGAAAAGACCAACAGTAGGTGTAGGTTGAGACGTTGTAACAGCCATATCTGTTTGTGTTCCTTGGACAGATTCTTTCTGAGCCTGCTCGCGAGCCAACTGCAAGCAAATTAACAAAATTAGATTGACAGCCATGACTCCTTTTGAAAGAAACATGAGAAAGAAAGATATGTGAAATGTAACCCATGATTTCAACCTTCAGTTCTTCTGGCATGGTCCACTTTGATTCTTTTGTCACCTTATTGTAATAGTACCTGTTTCACCTCGTGGTAAACCATTAGTGTACATGCTTATTCATGAAGATCAAGAAATGTAACACACTAAAAAAAACTTGAAAAATGTGAACGTGGCCAGGCTAATGCCAAAGAGGACAGAGACAAAGCAACACACTTTCTTCCATATGGAGATGTAAATTCCTTCCACACAGTTGATGCATCAGCTCTCTGTAACAATTATTTGAATCAGAAGCAAACATATTATATTGGAAAAAGAAATTTGAGTTAGTTGTCCTCCAACAACGAATATCCAAAGAGCTTTAAAGATATTGCACCGGTAAATGAACACAAAAGAGGACAAAAAAACAGTAGTTAAATAAGATATCTGATAACGAAAACCTTTATATACCCTATGTAGAGAAAATGTATATACATAAAATAGATGCTTATCTAGAAAAATTATCAGTCTAGAAAATCACACTGATCCCTGAATTGATAGAATATCCAGAAAAATCATGATTTTGAATTATACATCCCAACCCCAAAGAATACTTTTCCATGGAGCCACTATATATACATCCCAGCCCCAAAAGTTTACCTATGAATCTAAAAGAATATTCTAATAACGGCATCTATAACCATGAATTTTGTTTAGAAATGGAAAAGAATGCCTTGTATAATACCTTTTCTTTAACAGATGTGTTATAATGTTATAGGTAAGAATAAAAGATGATTCATAAAAATGACATTTACCTCAAGTGGTGTCATAAGTTCCAATGGCTTCTCCCAACTGGACTGTTTGGTTTTTTTGTTGTAATAATATCTAGAAAAAATTTCTGTTCAGTAAGAGAAATCAAGAGAATTGCAGAGTGCTATAAACAATGGGTGAACTGTGTATACAAACTGAAAATTAGTAATTAACTGTGTTTAACCTCGACAATTAAGTTGACATATTTAAACCTTGGATTTTAAGAAATGAGAAGAAAGCTGTAACCAGGTGATAAATGCATGATTACCTTTTTCCATCAGCTGATGCATGCTCTTGCCAATCAGATGGATGATTGAAGACAGGAACATTAGCAGCCTGATGTTATAAATGACATGAAAAAAAACCCGTCAGGATATAGAAATCAGCATCTTAATAGCACTGAGGAGCTCACATCAGAAAACTGTCTTAATGCCTCGAAGAAAAATACTATATTATTTTTTTTAAGAAAAAAACAGACCTTTTCCCCAATGTGGGCATTACATACTACTTTCCACATCCCTAACTTCATCCATGCTTGCATAAGAACATTTATCAATGCCTTAATACATAAGACCACATTTTCAATAAGTCAAAGAAGAGAAAGTACGTATAAATTCCAATCAAAAGAAAAATAAAAATAAATTGAAGTCCATCTCTAGCTTTTTTCATACAAGATCTATAGCAGATCATCCCTCAAATCAAAGAAGATAGAAGTAGACAAATAAAACAAGCAGAACATACTAGCTTTACGGTAGAAACTGAAGAATGCTGGTTAGCTTGCTCAATCTGTGAGACTGGGTTTGTAGCCTGGCTTACAGAAGACATCAAAGGTTCGCTATTACCAACTCCAACAGGTACATGCATTTGTGACATTGGCTGGAAATCAGAAGTGAAACCAACATCATTTAGTGTCAGTCAGAGTGGACATGGAAATGTACCATAAAATAAAAATACAAAAAATGGCTTTTCAAATTAACAGAAAAGAAAGTAAACAATGCGCAATGAATGAGAGGATTACAGTATATGGTGAAGAAATAAATAGTCCATGAGAACCCAGACCATGCATTTGATTATTTGGTGCAGACACGTTTTGCTGACTCTGAGGTGGAACAGAAGTAAGAGACCTTGTCGGAACATAAGGCATTTGAATACCCTGGGACAAAGGAGTGATATAGCCTCGATGGCTTGGCCTTGGCACAAACTGTGGCACTGATTGAGGATACTGATGTGGCTGGACTTGACCAGCTGGAATTCCAACATTTGAAGAAGATATATTCTGCCCTGCTGACTGGAACTGTGGGGCAGATGAGGAAATGAACGTCTGGCCTGGTTGTGCTGGGATATTTGGTCGAAACTGCAGCAGAAAAATCTCAGACACTCACATCAACTCGATAGACATAAATAGAATATAGACTTAACCAAATATCATAACAAATAAGTAACCAAATAAAACCCTGCAGGAATCAGTGAACCAGAATTTAGAAATTTGAACTGAACATACATGGAAAGAATCAAAAGAGACAAACACACTAATGCACCAAAAAGGAAGGAGAAGTCACGGGAATATTTCAAAAATAAGATAATAATTGAACAGACAAAATAAATGTCTGAGCTCAAATCGGCAATTGTAAGCAATAAAATATATGTAAGTACTTTTATACGTACACACACATGCAAAGAACTAAAATCAGAGATGTTAATTGAGAACTGAGAAAAGGTTCTTTACCTGTCCGCCTGAAGACTGAGATAGATTATCCATTTCAGAGCATAACAGAACGTCAAGCTTTGAGCATAAAAAAGGTAACCAGAGATCACAATACCGACAGATCAGCTAGCTAATTCCTAGTTGAATTCCACCAAAAGCAAAAATGGAAACCCAGCTGCAAACAACTTAGAAATGTTAGTCAACAAATAAGTAACTGGATCCGAAGGTGTGTCCAATCAAACAAATTATCTAATTTCAAATTTCCAAGGCTGATTTCCTGGACGATGGAATCGAAAATCGACCCATTACTGCAGGGCTAAAGTAAAATCCACTGCATCCCAGTCAATCACAAAGTGTCATTCAATGTGTCCTATGAAATAATTAAAGAGAGCGGGACGAGAACTCAGAAACATATCACAATTTCGTAGACTAAACGTCTCAAAAAGTTACATATAGTATATAGTTTCGACGCTAAGGCCTGTATGATTAGGCAAGGACCATAAAGAATCGACTAAGCAACTTAAACCTACTGAAACGTCTCACTGCATCACCCTTCTTAATTTCTATATATCCTAAAAACCCTCCAAATTCAAAACTGGGTGAGAAACAAATAATCCTGCCGCATGCGGCGTGAATGTGAATATCCCCGTACTTTCACTCTTAAGGTTCTCACTTCTCAATCTCCAAGAAGTCACAACAACACCATACAACCAAAAATTTGGCATGATAAATATTTCAAGACAAGAAGGACGACCGATTCCCAAGAGACAAGTTTCCTCTCAAAGAAGCGATGGGGATTGCGATTAGCTCCTCGATGCGTCTGCACACCCGAATCCTTTCTTTCACTGGACTTCACTTTCTCGAGGTAAACCGCAGTGTTCTTAAGAATATATAAAGATTTGTGAAAGAATCACCTCCACGTTTAACATGTTTTTTCACATCCATTCCCTTAGCACGAATTTTTCTTCGAAACTTGATAGAAAAATGCAGAATCCGATACCAAAGCGCCTAAAGAACGAGAGGGAATTAGATTACTCACAGTTACGGCTATACGCTGCGGTGGGCAAAATAATGGCGCCAAAACTAATGCTAATAACGGGTAAGAAACCGGAGTGGTCGGTACTCGGAGCCTACGGGTTCAATCGAGTTTTAGGGTTTAAGTGAAAAAAAAAATTGACAGTGGGAGGAGAGGGTACGGGCTAAAGGTTGAACCGGTGGCTAAAATTATTTACCACGTTGCTTCATTTTGACCAATAATTTATTTCTAAATAATAAACTTTTTTACATGTAATTTCTTACTATTAATTTTTAAAGGATTAAATTATAAATTTGCTCCAATTTAGCTTATGTGATTCTATAAAAGTTGTCTTTTTCTCTTTTTTGCATTTTTTTTTTGTTTTTTTTTTGTTTTTTTGCATTTTTATAAGAAATTCTAAGATAATAATGTTGTGACATAAACACTGACATATTATTTAACTGGTTAATGCAAATGTAATAGCCTAAGCTCCCTGCAAGCAAATATTGTTAGCTTAAGTCTATAGTTGTCACGATTTTAAAACAGAAGTTTATTAAGAAGTTTATTAAGGAGAGTTTAGTTTAGCTCACAAAAAAAATTTAAATTTTAATAAAAACTAAAGATAAAAATTTTGTTAAAACAGAAAAGGCTATGGTTAATAAACCATGCTGTCATTCCTATTCTGTCATTCTCTCCAACTTTTACCTTATTTCAGTTTTATTAACTTCCAAATGGATGAACAAAATTCATATAAATATTTGAATTCTCTATTCTTTTCCTCAAGCCAAGAAAACAAACAAAAATCATAACTTTTGTGTTGGGTTTGTTTCGGGGAAAATGAGGAACACAGAACATGGAGGGAAGCTGTTGGCAATGGTGGCTTTGGCCATTGCTGCTGCCATTCTCCAAGCTCATGCAGCCATTCCGGAGATGAATAATTCTCAACAATTATCGGTGCAGATTCAAAAGAAGTTAAAGCTTCTTAATAAGCCTGCCCTCCACACCATCTACGTAACATCTTTCTTTTCGTTGCCTTCTTTGAAATATTTGAAAAAATTTAATGCCTTTTTGATCGGTTTTTCACGTATAATTTTGCATGGAAATCATGCAGAGTGAAGATGGAGATATTATCGACTGTGTTGATATTTACAAACAGCCTGCTTTTGACCATCCGGCTCTAAAGAATCACACCATTCAGGTTCATTTCTTCATGTTAATCAAATCATTATGTGTAAGTCTAGTCATAATCTTTACGCTCTTAACCAATGCTTGCATATATGCATATAGATGGAACCCGATTGGGGCGTTGATTGGAAGATGTCGGTTGAGCAAAACGAGCCATTTCAAGTATGGCAAAGAAGTGGGAGATGTCCCGAAGGAACCATTCCAATTCGCAGAGTTCGTGAACAAGACTTACTCAGAGTCAATTCTCTCGATAGCTTTGGAAAGAATTTTTTTTATGGAAGTTCCAAACTCGGGGCAGAAGTCAACCGTTCCGTAAGCAAAACCTTCCATAAACATATTTTTTTTATTTGGGTTTCAAAATTAAAGTTTAGTTGATTGATTTGTTGCTAATTATCTTATAATTTGGTGTTGAATATGAATCAGACGTCAATCCTGTATACGGCAGGCTACAATTACATTGGCGCTTCAGGACAGATTAATGTTTGGAACCCTAAAGTTGATTTGCCAAATGACTTCACGGCTTCAAGAATTTGGTTGAAAAATGGGCCGTCTGAAAATTTTGAAAGCGTTGAAGCTGGCTGGATGGTTCGTTTTATTATTACTATTATTTAAACTTAATTAGTACATGTTTTAGCATTTAATTTTAATTTATTTTTGTTGTTATAGGTAAATCGGAGGCTATATGGAGATACAAAAACTCGATTCAGTGTACATTGGACGGTAAGATAGAGAGTTTTCAATTATAAGAACTCACGGGAGAATAGTGAAGAAATTTGAGTATAATTTTTATCTAACATGAAAAAATGGTTAGGTGGATTCATACAAATCAACGGGGTGCTTTGATTTAACTTGTAGTGGGTTTGTCCAAACGAACCCCAAAATAGTACTTGGTGCTGTCATTGATCCCATATCAACTAGAGGTGGACAACAATTCATTATCTCTGTCGGTATGTTTCAGGTATCTAATTTCATATGCAATCTTCTCTCCTTTTCCATGAATTACTCAACCTACTGAGTATATTTGCTAAAACAACACAGCTAAATGGTCAAATATGGGATATATGGTAAACTATAACTCATGCACCATGCAGGATCCTCGGTCACGCAATTGGTGGTTGAATGTGCAAGGGTGGCCTGTGGGGTATTGGCCACCGACGCTATTCGGATATCTGCGTCACAGCGCAACACTGGTGGAATGGGGCGGTGAAGTGTTCAGCTCACATGTAAAGAAAGTGCCACACACGAGGACGGCCATGGGGAGTGGAGATTATGCAGGGAGGCATTACCGCCACGCTAGTTATGTGATGCTGCCAAGGATCGTGGACAATTCGCTACAATTGAAGTATCCAGAGAGAGTCGGAACTTGGGCTAATGAGCCTTTTTGTTACTCTGCTGATAATTATCAACGAACCTACGCTACTGAGCCTGTCTTCTTCTATGGCGGTCCTGGTCGCAGTCGTGACTGCCATTAATATCATCTAAGAGAAGGGTTGTATAAGAAGTTATTAAAGTTCTATTTTTCTAATAGAAGGGAATGAAAATTTATAATATTTTAATAGAACATATACAAATTTATAATATTTTAATAGATGCATAATATGAATTTTGAATTAATTCATGTTATTCAATATTCTAGACTAAATACTTTTTATAATATGGAACTTTTGGTAGGGGTAATTTAGTAATTTTGTCAACAACTCAACATATATAAAGGAAATTAGTATAAATGTCTTTGTTTTGTGATCATCAAGTCTCATCCAAACCAGTTTATTTTTTACAATAAAAATATGAAACTAAATTGTAGTTTTTTTTTTTGGGATCAATTTTCAAAATCAATCTCGTATCACCTTTTTAAATATTCACTTTTTTACTGCATTTTTCGTTCGAAGTACACACCAGCGCCCAAAGATGCTCATGCACCAGATCCTCTTCATGGTGCGGCTTTGTAAACTTTTTGATATGAACCGATTGTTCTTTGATGAGAAAGTTAATAGGCGGGTTGAATGCGTGGAGAATTGTTAGGAGGGAGTACCCCATAGTTAATTAAAGGGATAGACCATGAATTTATAAGTAAGAAATATATTTTTATTGGCATGAGGCATTTTGGGAAACAAAAAACAAACCGATAGATAACTTCTGCTCGAGGTGAACAATATTATATTATTGTGGAAGTTCGTGATTCATAACATGACATCAAAGTCATGCGTTTAACTTAGTCATGTCAATAGAATTTTCAAGTGTCGAATAAAAGATGTACTTTGTTCGAGGGCTCCAAAGAAGTCGAACTTCGATTAAAAAGAAGTTGTTCGAGGGCTAGATAGATTTTAAGGAAAACTCTATGGTATATTGTTCCAGGATGGGAATGAGTCTCCCATTAGCTAAATTCACAATTTTTTTTTTTAATTTTTATTTCCTCAAAATAAAAACTCCCAGTCACGGGGATGAAGCGCAGCACTTCCGTGAAAGTGAACAAAGTATTCTTCGTCTAATACCAGGACGTTTAACTCCATTTGTTGCAGAACCGCCGCCGATTGGCCGACGGTTCTTCGAAGGGCCGTTTGTGCATTTCTTATAGGCTTCAACAAAAGGATCTCTCTCCTTCAAACCATCCCGTTTACAGCACCCGAAACCAAAAGACGATCCAAAGTCGTCGGAATAAGCTTCAAGCCACAAATGTTCCTTAGCCATCCTCGCACTCTTCGCTCGCGGAGAAGAACAGGGGATCGCCTCACCGTAGTCATCGGGAAGCCTAGCACTCTCCGATCGGTACGGCGGCGAAGGCAATTTCAACGCTGATCTCTCGAACGTGCTTACGTTAGGGCTGGAACTCGATTGTAGCTTCGGAACCCCCGGCTTGGCCTCCCAAGAGAACGGCACGTTCGTCCTCGTTTGAAGGAGTTCGAAATCAAAGTCCAGTGGATGAGAACTCGAACTCGAACTCGCCATGGCTGATTGAAAAATCAATGCGACTGTGTTAGGTTTGCTCGATTTTTGGTGTTCATACATATTTATATATGTAATTTTTGGTATTTTGGGCTTAATCGAGTGCCGATTGTCTGTCAAACAAGATATCTATATTAGCTATTGGCAGCTCCGATCGGGCTTTCAAATGTACAAAATTGCTAGAGACGATTGATGAACTCGCTCCAACTAACTGAAATTAAATTTAATTAAGCCATATATTTGAGGATGTGATTTCAGTGTTAAGTTATCAACACTTCAACATTTTATTTCCTCATTCGTGTGATTCCTTGGAAAGGAGTTCAGAGACTCTGCTGCCGTCGTTACTCCTTCACCCCACAAGTGTTTTTATTTTATTTTTTTATAATTAATCCATATTAACTTTAGTAAATATTAATTTGACCAAAAATGAATAAATCCATATTAACTTTAGTAAATATTAATTTGACCTAAAAATGAATAGTGTTTTTTTTTTATATGTAATTTTTAATTTAATAATTAAAATAAGTTTGTGGGTTTATTTTTTAAAAAGCACTTTTTAACTGCACAATTATCTTTTCAAATAGGTTAAAGTAATCCAAATTTAAAATTAAAAATTTTAAATAAATATAAATATAAATTAAATTATTTTTAAAAACAAATAATGGATACAAATTTTTTTAATAAAAAAAAACTAAATAATTTAAGACAAATATTTTATGTAAACTCATATTATATAAAACATTTCGTACAGGCCCATTAACGAATAGCTACAGGCCCATTAATTGATATATGCAGGCCCATTAACAATAAAGAAGAAACTGATGTTAGGGCTTCACTATTATTGTAGACCCAATTTTGGGGGAAAAAATTGGTTAAATACCGTGGTTTGATGTATTCGGCCACTTGCTTTCAACGCGGCATCTGTCTCTACCCTGCGTTTTGCTGAAATTCTCCTGTATCTCTGCACTGTCGAAGTAAAAAGTAAGGTACAATATACTCCGTAATTTTCTTCTTCTTCTTTCTTTCTTTTTTTTTTTTTTCGTTTTTTTTTTTTTTTT